GTAATGCATACTGTATATGCAGGGAGGGTATACGAGTCAGTGGGTATAAGAGTCAGTGACAAAGGGGGTACTGGGCCTTGTTAATGAGGCCAGCTGCAGATGGGAAGAAACTGTTTTTGTGCCATGAGGTTTTGGTCCGGATGGATGAATCAAGAAACAACCCAGTAGAATATAAAATACTAACACATTAACCAGCTACAACATTAACATTAACATGTGCATATGCATCAATAATAATAACCCAACCCAGTATTTTTTGCAGTAGGTTATAGCTACTTTTATTTAGAAAGATCTGAATACTTTTTCCACTACTGGCTATACAGCACTAATATGACAAAAATGTATTTATAGGGACAAACATATCTTTTCATGATGTCTTTATTATCCATCCTTTAAAAAGTGCATAAAATGCCTTAACCTGAAAAAAGACATTTTCATGTCATCACTTATTTTATACCACCAGAACACAAAACAGCTGTGACAACTGCAGTTAAAAGACTACTATGCTACCATACTGCCTCTTTAATACTTTCAAAATGTTTACAAGACAACTATGATTATGCAAATATAAACATTTAAATACTCAGGGTTCTTGTTTTTACTGTTTTTCCAGGTGGGTGTAACTGTTGAGCAAAAATGAGGCATTTAGTGGGAAGAGTACAGGCAACTTGTAATTAGTCCCATAGCGTTGCTGGGGGCTGTGTAAGAGGTACTGTGTCTTTGGGTAAATAGACCTGTCTGAAAGCAGGGTAAATATTGGTTAAACGTTAAACGCCCACTGTCTGCTATATGCACTCCCATTGGTCTATACATATACGTATAAAAGGCACTAAAGGAATACAGGTTCCCTAAAACAAAGCATTCTTACTTGGGTGGATAAAATAAAGCCCTACATCAACTGTTTTTCACTAAAGAAAATACAGAATCTACATGTGCAAATATGTATTGTTTCAAAAGTTTAATAGCTGGAAACAAGAGGCCTCTTACTTCACAGTCAGTGTATGCATACATCATTCACAATTGAATATTGGGCCGTTGATTGGCTTCCAAACTAGTTGCAATGTTAGAAAGTATAACTCCTGCATATATGCCTTAAATTCAAATTTAAGGTGAGCACAGAGAAACTTGCCCCTCCAGTGTCAAACTTATACATACATACACATACATTGTCCTCCACAGTGAAGGTCAAACATTTAAGTGAAGTGATGATAAGCAAAACACATTTTTCAGTGGAAGGGGCTTGTGATTACATTTTAAGACAGAAAATGAGGAAGAATTCCACAGCAATATCCAGATGTATTACAGTACATCAGACACTAATATAAGATAACTTGACTGTCTCTTCTCTTTAGGGTTCTTCAAATGCAAATATTGTTTAATTTCCCATCTCACTTATTCCACAGTTCTAGTAGCTGTAGTTGGTAAGTGGTAAAATAGCAAGAACAGATTTCCTGGCCACTTGGGGCAAGTTTTGAATACAATAGTGACATGGCAAACTTGAAACAGTTGCCTATTTACAGATTCAGCAGACACAGGGCAATGTTAGCATTCATAAGGAGTTGTGTTTTTAGCCACCACTTTTAACCATAGTCACTGCCCTTATAGCTCAGTTTTTTGGTCTCCACTATATGCATCAACTACATGCTAACTTTGTGTGCCTGGACTTTGGTGCTGGGTAGGTAGTGTGCATTTGGTTTTTACAGCTTATTTTCTGAAAACATCTGCTCATTGGGGCCAAAAAAACCTGCCTGGAAACCACAACAAGAGTTAGGGTGAACTGTAGAGTCAGGTCACAATTTTCTGTAGGTACAACAAGTAACCCTTTTCACATACAAACAGTCATGTGTTCCAAGTCATAATACTGTAATAAAAGTTTACATTTTCATTAAACATAAATACCACTCCACGCTATAATGGAAACATGATGTGTAGCTCTCATATTTACTTTAATATTATACTAAAAAAATTATAATATATTATAATAAAATACTTTTCTCCTTAATACACTAAGTAATTATTATAACACTAATAGGACAAATGTACATAAACACTTGACATTTGAAATACTGACAGATGGACACACCTTTCACACGCATAAGAACACACTACGCAAACACACAGCTGTCGTTTTAAGCATCCGTGGATGTTTTGAGCTGCTGCAGTTCAGCAGCTTTAGGGCTCTGTCTCGACTTTTTTCGTCCCTTGTGAAAGACAGCAGCAATCTCCTCAAAAGTTTTGCCCTTGGTCTCAGGGACCCGAAGATAAGTAAATACAGTGAAGCCGAGAAGGAGCACAGCAAACAGGATGAACACATAACAATCCAGCCAAGTCTGAAAAGGATAAAAATAAAAGACAGGAGTCATTTCTGTGAATGAAGCAAAGATACCTCAACCCACATGTAAGTGCATATGTGGCACAAGTTTACAATACAGTACGTATGTGTACTGCCTTTCTGCGTACCTGTATATATTGAAAGGTCATGCCTATGATGAAGTTGCAGGTCCAGTTACAGCAGCCAGCCAGAGCGATGGCGGCAGGCCGAGGTCCCTGGCTGAACAATTCAGCAACTATGAACCATGGAATGGGACCAGGACCAATTTCAAAGAAACTCACAAAGAGGAAGATACCGGACATGCTGACGTAGCTCATCCACGAGTAATCACTCTAGAGGGAAGAGTACAGTCAAGTAAGTCAAGAAAAATGATTTCCTATTTCTTCAAATGATCAAAGTAAAGCTTTAATAAATATATTAACAAAAATTTACTTTACCTTTTTAACATTCCTATTGACAATGTGATGAATACTAGCCACACAGATATTATAGTGAGAGCAACGCAACATTTTAGTCACATAAGAGAAAGAGTGAACAAACCTGGAATTTGAGCCCCACTGTCATGGCAATTGCACAGCAGCACATCCCTCCCAAACCAACCAGAGTCAGAGTGCGCCTGCCAGCCTTGTCCACCAGTGCAACCTAGAACATACAATACACGTGTTTGTGTGTGTGTACATGTTTATCTGTATGTGTTTGTGTGTGTTTTCATGATGAAATAAGAGAACATCAGTGCACGTTCATGGTTTAATGTCCATAATGTGTGAGCATATGTCCGTGTGTTTTACATGTGCATATAAATGTAGCCACTCACCGACACCATAGTGAAGATTGTGTTGATGACCCCGACTCCTATTGTGGCGTAGACTGGCTGACCAACACCAGCCCGAGCAAAGATATCCGTAGAGTAATAAAAGATCTTGACAACAAAACAAGTATATTTTCGGTAATTGCAAAGTCAGACATAAAGGAACGGTTTTTTTTGTGTACAGAGCAAGACAGATCTCCTCTGCCATACATTTTCAGCACATAAACAAAAATCTCCAGCTTTGTCTTAATAAAGAAGTCAAACATTTAGCCATTTGACGCAGGTACTGTAGATATGCATGTACAATGATACCACAATTTTCCTGTCATCATGAAAATCACTGCAATTTCAGTTTAATCTCAGTAAACTGAATGAGAGAAAGTTGAAGTAATTTTGCCACTCACTGCATTGATGCCAGACAACTGTTGGGAGAGGTGCATCATTAGTGCAACGATCAGCTGCTGTCTGTACACAGAGGAGCGGATCTTGGGGAGAATACAAAACCGTAACCGTCACTGCAATGGTTTCCTAAAGAACATGACTAAAACGCACATTTTTGTTTAACTAATGTGAGAGTACTTCCTGTGCTGCTTTGCAGTATGCTAACTAATGTGTGACAGCTAGAGAAAACATAATTCATGTTTTTTTCTTTCTGCTGTTATGTATGAAATAAGTATTTTCAATTTTTTTGCAACTCTGGTTGTACTGTGGGATAGTTTCATCTGCAGCTGCTTAAAGTAGCTTGTGTCCAATAATCTTTATAACATGCTATTATATATTGAGGCCCAATCTGGAATGCTGAGATCTGGAGCACACACTTACAGTAAGAGCTTTTAATAAGTTGCAGCAATTAACGTTTCGACATAAAGGATGTCAGAGTTACTCTGATGTTGAAATGTTAGTTGCTGCACTTTATTAAAAGCTCATACTATAATTATATCCTGATCCTCCCTCAGTCGGCCTGTTTGATGAAGTAGGTTTAAACTTTAAGTTGGCTGATGCGCAGAAATTCCTTCACTTTCACATCACTACTATTCAACTAATGATTTAACATCAACTACATGAGATCATCAGTGTACTTTGGTAGCTGATTAATTTGCATTGTTGAGTGTCTCTGTACACCCAGAGGAGGGATGTCAGGACTGTTAAAGTATAATGTGAGTACTCTGGTGGCCGTTTATCAGCTATTTTATTTTGAAACCCAAAAATCAAAGTCATTTTTTTCTTCAAAACTGTTCATGAAAAAAGTACATATCTCAAGTCCTGTACAGAGACCTACCAAAGACAGGATGGAGACCCTGGGCTCCCTGTCCGCCTCCTCTTTCTCTCTCCTCATCTCTTCCAGATCAGGAGTTGGATCATAAGCCCCTTTTAGACGAAGAAGACCTGCAACAAAACACAGATCAGTTACTGTAGATGAAGGACTGATACCACTTTCATGTATTGTATGGATGAAGCTAAAGCCAGCAGCCAGTTATCTTAGCTTAGCATAAAGACTGTAAACAAGGGGGAAACGCTAGTTTGGCTCTGTCCAAAGCTAACAAATCAGCTTACAGCACCTCTAAAGCTCACTTATTAATATAACATCTCATCATAACACAATTTATCTTGGTTGTTTAGTCCATAGAAACAAACAAGGTTTATGTGACAGATGGTTTCTTGGCTGTCAATAAATCTTCTGGCACATAAACAGTGAATTAACGCTTTTACACTTGGTTGAAATGAGATATAACATTAAATTAAATTAAATGTAGAGATTTTTGTAGATTTCGTTTCCTTTTGACAGAGCCAGGTTACCTGTTTCACACTGTTTCAAGTCTTTATGCTAAGCTAAGCTAACTAGCTGCTGACTGTAGCCTTATAGGAGTCAGACATTAATGTGGTATCAATATTTTCATGTAACCCTGTGTAGGAAAGCAAAATGCCCAAATTGCTGAACAATTTCTTTAAAGCAGGGGTTTCCAAACTTTTCAGCTCGAGACCCAAATAAAAGTTTGGTGCCTTCCTGGAACCCCAGCTTTTTCGCACCCCTGTACAGTCCAGTCATTTCAATGATGGGAAAGGCAACAGAAGTGAAGCAATTTCCAGTAAGGATACAAAGCGGTTGCCACATTGATTTTGCTCTGTCGCACAAAGTTCACCATGCTGAGCTCCTGGTGGTAGTGGTGATGTTTTAGATTGCAACTACCTGAAAACCTCTCATGTTTGTATTTGATGACCTGGGAATAAGAATGGGCTTTGAAGTGTGCAGGAGGCATGATGCCAAATACAAAAGGCCCTATTTCTCTTCTGGACTACTATAGAAACATGGTGGTTCAACATGGCAGACTCCATTGAAGGCAACGCACGGCATCTGTAGATAAAAAAAACTCATTCTAAAGTAACAAAAACATGATCCTATATTCAGGTGATTATACACATAATGAAAACTCATTCTATTAGATTTCTGCCAATAGATCCTCCTTAATGTTACACAATGGACTTTTAACACCTTTTCAAGTAGTAGTCACTGGATGTTTCTCCAGCATAACAATGCTATATGTTAATTCATTTTCCCAATTAAAATAGAAGAGGAGAGTTCTCTCTTTCTTCAAATAAGTTGGGGATCCAATAAAAATGGGTCCGCATCCACAACCCATTTTGGGTCCCAACCCTAAGTCTGTGAAACGCTGCTCAGTATCTTATGTAGCATATATACTGTATATATAGGGTTTGCAGAAAAAGGATGACATAAAGAGTTGCTGTGTGTAATTCTTACTTTTTCTAGCCTCTTGCTCCTTGCCCAGTAGAATGTAAAGGTAACGTGGGCTCTCAGGACATAGTGGCAGCAGAAAGGATTGTAATACTGCTGGAGCTCCAGACAGCCCAAGCAACAGGGGCCACATATCATCATTACCAAGTATAAAGTCCAAACCTATTACCTGTATCCACAAACAAACGCACACAGATACAGTTCAAGTTACATGTTCAGTATGCTAACAAGCAAAGATGGTGTTGTGCATGTGTGTGTGAGTACACGTCACCTGGCTGAGTAGGATGCCAATGACAATAGCCAGCTGGTGTAATGTTCCCAGAGCTCCTCTATAAGCCTTGGGTGCAATCTCCCCAATGTACATAGGCACAAGCCCAGATGTCAACCCTGAAACACACACATCATGAGCTAATCAAATTCACACAAATATTCGCTGTTGGATATATCACAATAAAGGAAGGAAATATATTTTTCCTTGTTGTATCCAAGTGCAGTTTATATATTATATTAACTAATACACTTCCAATCATGAGGTTAATATTCCTAAATATATGTATATATAACTCATAAAGATTGGCTTTTCCAACTAAATAATGTGACTGTTAATCAAAGGTTATAACATTTGCTTTACTGTACCACAGTAAAAGCCCATAACAGCGCGACCCGAGATGACCATGATGTGAGGTTTCCACATCTTGCAAAGACCCATCAGCAGTCCAGCAGCTACAGCCAGAACATTGACCATTAACATGCCCTTTACCCTGTAAGACAGAGAGAAAGAAAGAAAGGTGGCAGAGGGAGATATATGAAGTCAGATGATGGATAAAGACATATGCCATGGCATTATTCTATATTGATTACTCCTAACATTCCCCATTCGATTTATTATTTTATTTTTCCTTTCTTACCTCCCTCTCAGGTCTCCCACAAATCCCACCAGGAAGGATGATAACATGCCACCAATGGAGAAGATTGCCACCGACAATGACCAATACATGATCACGTCAGGGTGATGTCCCGCCTCTGAGAACTCTTCTTCTTCTGTGCCGTTTTCTGACAGGACAGCTGCCTTCTCTGACCACACCCCCAGAGACCGCCCATAGTTCTTTTCAATGACCTATGACACAGGCATGTTTGTGGATCTTTAAGAGGTACAATCCCTGGCTGCACACACAGACAGACCAAAAAGCAGGCACAAAGTATGCATACACATATACACACGCATAATCCATTGAGCTTTTATTCTAAAAAAAAAAAGAGTACTCACTTGTTCATAAACAAGTGGCACATTTGGTGTTCATCTCAATTGCACTATCTCTAGTAATCCATCAACAGTACAATTGGTAGTGGGCTGTGTACTTTTGGTTTACCTCCACAGATTTATTTCTAATTTCAGCATACCGACATGTTTACATCTTGTTTTGAGGAAATTACCTGCCATATCTGCACAGTGCCTCTAGCAGGACACTGTTATCTCTGTACCCTTTCCTAGCAAACTGCAGAAACATTAACACATCAAGAAATGCAAACACATCATTGGAATTTAAGATTATTGCCTTCAACTGAAGGATGAACAGAATGTTTCCATGTAGGGGGTTCAAGTGCAATATTATATGCAATATTAAATCCATTTGATGCTTTGAAAGCACAACAATTGTATATTTATTAATTTGAGGTTATAAAATACAAAATTGCAGCATGACTTCTGGTATAAAAACCAACCCCCTTTGCTCTTCTTTCCAAATACAGAGACAGATCATTTTGTTGGTTGAACAGATATAGATACTGATGAAAATCTCTGTACACTTCTTATAGCCATATAGTTGAGTACGCTTATTCATACTGCCCGCTTTTGTATGCAAATATCAGTATTCTGAGGCAATTAGATAGCCCCGTAAGGGAGATAAGGTTGTATTAAAGTAGAGCCTACCTTCTGTGGTGCATTGATGACTCCAAGACTGTAGCCATACTGCAGGGACCCCAGAACTGCTGTAAACACGGCCACGGCCAATGTACCAGTTAGCTGCTGCAGGAGTGAAAGGCAATCATTCAGATAAGGACACATACACATGGATGCATGGACAAACACACAACTTAACCTGCACATGCACTTAAGCAAAGAGTATTAATGTGTAAATAGTCAGATGTACTTGCTTAGTACACGGTCACAAATAAAAGTGCACATCCAAATGCAGAAAAAAAGAAATTATCTACATTATCAATGGATTTAAAACTGCTTTATGAACTGTTACTGACAATCATACGAATGCTTACATACAGAAGTTACAAAAGCTACTACTGTATGTTATATGTTATGTGTTATAAGTAACCATAATGGGCATTACATTAATGCACTCCCATTGGTTTTTCTATCCTGCACATTGTAAATATCTTTCCTCTACAGTTTAGATCTTTCTATCTTTATCTTTATCTATTTATATTTAAAAAAATACTTTGTGTGATTTTTATGTACCAACGCACCAAGGCAAGTTCCTACATGTAAAAACTTACTTGGCAATAAACACGATTCTGATTCTGATTCTTATTCCGATAAGCAAATTTTAGTTGAAATATTGCAGAAGACACATCAGAATTTAATTCATGACTCATAAGCAAAATGACAATGCAAACACAGAAGACGCTAAATAAAAAGCTGGTTATTTCTTCAGGTGAGAATAATAAATGTAACCCTCTGAGTGCCTGAAGCTGTCAGCAATATAGTGACAAGCCATCTGTTTTCAAATATTGCTTACATGATTTAGAATACATAACCATTTTATTAAATCCAATATAAAAGGAATATGAAGGGAATATAAAGAATGTATTTGTCAAGAATTAGCTTACCTTTCCCGACTCCATGATGGGTCCAGAGTGTCAGCCAGGAGGTAATGATCAATGAAAGCTACATGCCTGATCACGCTGTGTCCACTCGCTAATCAAGTAGCACATGCATGCGCACACACATGCACACACCCCTACAGTACTGACAGAACTCTTACACACTAAAGAACAGTGGTCTTGTCCATCTTTAATACACATATTACTATTAAAGGGAAGGAATAAAATCATAAACATTGACCAGAGAGTGAGACAGTCTGAAATCTATTGTGGAAAACACTGCTTTCAGGGTGTTTCACACAATGATATATTGTATGTCTAGCAATTAATAAAGGGATGCAAAATTAATCCCAAATAGCACATGTTGCTTCTCAGTTTCAAAGTTGTGTTCTTTGATAGTAATAATGACATTTGGACACTATTCTCTCTCCCTCTCTCTAACACACACACACACACACACACACACACACACACACACACACACACACACACACAGATGCACCACACACCACACACACACAACACACACACACACAACAACTGCACTCACACACACACACACACTACACACACACACACCACACACACACGCTGTTAATGATATACTCGAGGGACGGACAAAGTCTGAGGGTCGAGGATACAAATGTGCACACTTGCAAAAAGACACTCTCAAACACATCCGCAAAAAAAAAGAAAACACTACTACACAGGCATAATGCTCTAGTTTCATTTATTTCTCTCTTACAGCTTCTCTTTTACAAAACAAAGAAATCCCAAAACAGGACATTAGTAATGCTCTTTCAAAATAAAGAAAACAAGAAATAAACAGAATAAAGAATACAGTGGTTTTGTCTTTTAAAGGAGAGTCCTCATTGTAATGACCATCAGAATTTTCCAATGGGAAGAGTGAATTCCATGTTGGACAAACATAGTAATAATGCCCCATTCACACTTGCTCATTAATCATACACACAGATGCATGCTTGCACACACAGGGAAGACAGTGGTTTCTTCAGCTCGGCTCTTTATTGCTAAAATGCTAGTCTGCCCCCCCTAACAGAGATCAATGAACCTAACTAACAGCTGCACAGGAACAGCTACTGTGGGGGAAAAAAGTCCTTGAAAATATAACAGAAAATAATTTAACAGAAAAAAACTCATAACGTCATTGGGAAATTAATCGTTTTTTTTTTTGTGTGTGACCTTTCCTTTGTTAACCATAGGCCGGCATACTGCCAAACCTGCAGTATATCCACCGGGAAAAAAAGGCTAACGCATTATAGTCTTCCTCCAAGTCCACCCTCAGTAGTGTTATAAAATCATGTATTAATGATTGAGCTGTACTAAATATTTAAAAAGAAATGGCACAGTTTTGTCATATCATATTCAGTTACTCCTTTCAAAGAATAAATCAAGTCTTAAATTTGTTAATGTATATCTTCGTTAGAAGAGACAAATTACATCAGCAATGTGTTAAAGTTAGACAGTAACACAAAAGAAAATGATTTAAAGTAACCAAACGGGCAATAAAATGATCAATCGTAACGTGAGCCATAATCTTTTGGCCTCCTTTTTTGTTTTGCTTACATCATGCTAGGCACTGTACAAACAGGTAGGAGCCAAAATCAGAAGAACCAATCAGGGAGGAGCATTGTCCAAAAGGACACCACAGCTTTCAACAATGAGTGCTTTCACATGCACACAGTATTCAGGATAGTAGCTCATATCCTGTTGAGGTTGTATTCAGGATATACTGTCCATATGCGTATTTCCCTACAGCAACATGGCTGTGCTCATGAATAGCCAAAACATTGCTGTGTTAAAGGAATCAGAAACATACTCCAAAAAAACCCCCACAAATATTGCCTATTTTTAAATGCTTGGTGTTCAAATACACCAACTCATAAACTCCATACTAAGAAGATAATATCATAAATCTGCATGTAAACACACTCAATGTTGCTTTGATCACATAAGGTAAAAGTTTGCGCACACAGACTGAATTACTTGACCTTTTTCTGGACATTGACTTTGATATCCCACTTTGATTCGGACATGATTTGAATGGGACTCATTTCAACATCAAGTCAAACACACACCCACTCATACTTTTAATGCACACACACACACCCACACACCCACTAACATACACTCCTGATTTTCAGAGACAAAGATGTGCTGTACATTTCATCAAGCTTCAAAGACTGACTGACTCAGCCGCAGAAAAAGAAAAGAACAGAAAGAAACAGAATGAACAGAATGACGCTCTCATTGTTCATTTAATATTACAGTATATCTGATGCAGCACCTTCAGAGTTTAAAGACGGAATAGTGGAAACAGGGAGATGAGTGCGATGATGCTGATGGCGGGTGACAGTAGGAGGAAAAGAGGAAAAAAAAGGAGGGAAGACGACAGAATGGACCAGTCATTTCATTTTAAAGGGACACAGACATAATCATTGCATACTGTTACAACCCGCCTGTGACAGCAGAGTCTCACCGCATCTCTATCAGCGAAATGCGATAGAACATTAAATCACAATTCAGTTTATTCAGAGCCCGGAAAGATGGCGGGAGGAGGAAGAGGAGGAGGAGGAGGAGGAGGGGGAGTGACAGAAGGGAAAGGAAATCAATCAGGCTGTCCGCTTTTACCGCCGACATCCAGAGTAGATTTGTCATCCCTCAGCTGCCCTCCCTACAATGTCATATTCAGAAGTACGTATTAAAATTTATATTAAATCTTATTCATCTATTTCTCCAACCTCTGAGGTGTAGTTCAGCTGAAATAAGCCCACACATGCCAGATAGGAAGGGAGGAAAATGGAAGACATGGGTGTCAAAGGATTGAAAAAGTGACGGCTAGATCTACCAGGAAGGAGGGAGGGAGCGTTGGGCGGACAAAACGAAGAAGAAGAGAGGCAAAAGGTGTACAGAATTTCTACAGTTGTTGTACACTTGAATGCACTGGTCCGTTCGCAGAGAAGAGACAGACAAAAAGGGGAAAGAGTTACAGACAGAGACAGAGAAAGTAGGAATATTTGGAAAGTCAGTGGCACCAGTTTGCCAGTCAGTTTGAGTTACGATGGCTTCTGCATGACCCGACATAATCTAGGGTAAAATGTTTCTTCATTTAGAACTGGTCTTTGTTGTTTTTCTCTACGATAAGTTTTTTTTTGTTTTGTCTACACCGTTTTAGTCTCTCAGGTGTTAAAAGAGTTCTCTTGCAGCCTCTTGGTCAATCGGGTTCATTTGTGAGATTTGCCGGGGGCCCAGGTGAGTCTCCGGGCTGGACAGTGGGACAGTGAGGCAGAGTGGACAGTGGGAGGCGCCATCACCAGTTCATCATAGAGTTTCTGTTGAGGGTCATGAAGAAAACTTGGCTGCTACCTCCCGAACGCACCGATGCGAAGAATACCTAGTGGAGTAATATTACAAACATAAACATTTTATTTTCTCATTTCTAAATGTAATTAGCTCTCATTAACTACAGATCACAAATAACGAGGATTTTTTTATGATTTATTCATTTGCTTTTAGGTTCTGTTAGCCTGTGTAAGATCTATGCAAATCAAACATCATGCTCACAATCCATGTTATAGCAGCTTCTATATATAAATGTGGGTTTTTAAAGCTATACATACAAATGACTGAGAATCCAAGCGCACACAATCCAACTGTGGTTTATTTACCTTGTCGTTCCGCTCACAAAGGAACTTGAGTCTCTGGGCTCTCTTGTGCATAAAGACTCCATCCAGATGACCTGTCTCCACAGAGCGGATCTCTATGGCTTTCTCACCCCAGCCCATAATCTGATTAGAATGGATATAGGCTGGAAAAGAGAAAACATAAAAGAACAATAAGTGATGATGGAAAACAAATATGAATAAACGTGTCATCAGAATGCCTAATCCAGATTCAGTGGGACTAGCCCAAAAAGTGGTTGCTTTAAAGTGTAATGCCACTGGCTACCACACAGGGGCAGTAAAATACAAGAAATTAAGTGGATTTTTTTATTGAAACAGTGTTCATGCATACATGTATACATTTCTTGATTGCCCCCTCTCTCTTCCTCTCTGTGTTTTACTTCTTTTAATTCCCTATTGATCATCTCTATCCATTTTTCTCAAACTTTTACCCTCACTCACTTCTTTCTTGTTCTGGCTAATCAGCACTAGAAGCTGTGAAGGCTGATGTTACAAACTGATGTTTGAATGCAATTAAACTTTAAAAGAACCCCCATAAGTTCAGTTAAGAGCTAGTTCAGCTAATTCACAAGACTTTTGATCTGCATTGCAACACACACATGCACAGGCGCTGAAATGGGTACTAGCATATATCACTGTAGTTATTTAAACCTCTTAACTGGTGATTTTTAATTTACATCTTTGAACTGGGGTTTTTTCTGTGATGTTTTAATGACTGCACTGTTTATAAAAATGCACCAAAAACACAACACACATAAATACACATGTGGATAGGACATACCAACAGAGGTAGGCATCTCTCCCCACTGTAGCACCACGTCCTTGGTGATTCTACCGTAGGTGTTCACGTAGACGCCCTCGTCCTCGTAACACAGCAGCATCTCCATTCCATCAGTTTTAGGGAGCACCACAATAGCATGGGGAGTCACCTGGCTCTGGATCTATTACAGACACACACACACGCATAACATTTCAGAGGCTTTAATTAAATCTGTCAAATTTAATCGTAATCTACATTAGATTAAACTATTACAGAGGTTTCATCGTGGGCATTTAATGCAACAGAATTTGGCTCGCTCTTTGACATTTTGTTGGACTGGCCTGCATTCTGTAATCCTCTAAAGAGCAAGTTTGTGGACATTGACAAGGCTGCCAAATATCAGGAGCATCAGTGCATCAAAAGGTACAGACTTTGGCTTGTTGTCGGAGGAGCCTTGTTCTGTATAATAAGTGAGTTGTGAAACTATAGCACTTCTCCTTGACCTTAATGAACAAAAACAACACCAGAAGAGTTGGGAACGGTAACACACTCAGACATAGCTTCAATCTGTGCACTTTACCCAAAGTGTAGCCTAGAGACCAACCCCATCATTTGTGCCAGCAGGCTCTCCTGAGGTGTGACTCAATACTACACTTCAGGAGCACAACAAGGCATCATATCAGTGAAACAAGTGAGTGATAAGGTAATGAAAAAAGTCATCTTTACCCATTAGAAACTGCATGTACTCAAGAACTCAGAACAAAATGGCACGCACTTATTGCCACACTTCTGCTTATTCTGACCACATTAGGGAAGAAATGTACACACTGTATTAGATATGAAATATGGTAGCACTGTAACCTAACAAAAGCACTCTGTGAACCACTGAAACTGTGGTGTTGGTGGTTTGGCGAGAGTGAAGTTTAGTTTTTGGAATATTAATAATTAATAATATGGTGTGTCATAAATCTGACAGCAATGCCTTGAAGGAAATTGCAATTCAAATGTAATTATTTTAATAAATATGTTGATTTAATTCTGCAGTTTTTCTGTTGTGGCTCCAGCATAACCAAGCAACTCGTTAGGAGTAGTACACATCTTTTCATAACTATGTGATGTCTCCTGTGGGTAAGATGAATTTTTTCATGCAAACCGATTTCTAGCTAAGTTGTACATTAATATCTACTCTAATACTGCACACAGACACGTGTAGTACTTCTGTTCAGCCACTATGGGGTTTTACTAAAGATCTATTGATCTAGTCTAAAGGGTGGATGGCAGGATGTCACCTTCGTCTGTTTGGCACACTAGAAGAGAAGTTGGCAGGGAAGGAGAGAGAGAGGAAGCAAGGATTAAAGGCAAAAATCATAAAAGGCAATCACCTCCAAAGGTCAAGAATATTCTTCAATAATTCTTGTAGTGCACACACACAGTGTAAAGCACAGCTCAGTAAAGCTCAGTTGCTCTGTGTCATCAAATGGAACACATGCTACAACTGTCTGTGCTTACATCTGTATTCAGTGGTTTATATTTACTGAAATATTGCCACTAAATCAAGAGTTTGGCTCAACTGTGTTTGAACTTCATTTCAGTAAAAGCATGTGATAAGTGAAGCCAGCACAGAACAAACTAATTTGCATACTAGTACCTAAACTGATTTACCACGCAAAAAAATAGACTAATACTGATGGTGTACCTAGCTTCCATGAGTGATCGAGTGACCAGAATGTATAAAGCAGGGGAGGAAAGTATATTTACTCAAGTGCTGTACTTGAGTGCAATTTTGAAGTTTCTGTACTTTACACTTCTGCTCCAGTTCAGAGGGGAATACTTTTTATTTATTTATTAACGTATGTTAGTAGCTACCTTGCAGATTAGGATTAATGATATAAAATATAATCAACAAATACATTTTGATGTATTATTAAATATTAAGATAAGATCAGGCTTTACTGATCCCTGTGGAAAGTAATTAAAACTATAGCTCCACGTTTACCAGCTCCAAAATTAAAGTGATTTACAAATGAATGCAGCACTAATTCTAATACAATAAAAATTTTGTATTTGGGCCATTCTGCATAATGAATACTTTTTGTTCTCCAAGTATATTTGATGCTAATACTTTTGTACTTTTACCTAAAAACCTTTTTTTTACCTATGCAAAAGATCTGAGCACTTCTTCCACTACTATTTCTAACTGACTGCATACTGCCATCATAAGCAGAAGTACGCTAAAAGAATATGCTGACTTCTTGTGAGTAATGCTGTTTGGATAACCTTTGTTGCAACAGGAAATTTTGGTAGCAGCTACTACTTTTGCATGGGGCTGCATCAATAGGAACATTATCGAAATCGCCAAGTGCAATTTCAGACGCAATTAACTGTTAATAGTAAAATGTGTGACAACACAGCATTATAATGAAGTACTGTAGTGATGCAGAAAACTGTGATGCAAAAATGACCATTCCCACTAATCATGACTCATATTGCGATCATTTTTTTACCATATCACGCAGGCCTACTTAATGTTTTGTAATAAGAGAACTTCAGTCATTTTTAACTACATCCTGTGTTCTTGACATAGATAGTCCAAGCCCAATGCATCATATTTAGCAGACTAAAAAAGTATCTGATTAAAGAGGTAAACCACCCATCAATCTCTTACTTGCACGACAACAAATCAATCAATGAGGTAATTTGTCATGAAAAAGTTATTGTATTCCTAGAAGCCAGTCCTCATGAGACCTCATGACCTTGACACAGGAGGAGAGAGCAGGTAATGCAGAAGGAGTTGGGCAAGGAGGACTGAAAAAATACTGTTATCCCTCCTTACATCTTGAGTATTGATCTTCATTCAAATTCATAAGAAGTGAGAGATCCACCTCTATTCTATTAAAAAAACATGTTTATTGGAGATACACAAAAGATACACACTCAGACATATACAAGCACAGGCCTGCACTCACATGTGAGGGGATGTAGATGTCGTAAGGGTTGCCCGAGTCCACGTCAATAACATGGAAGCCGACGCTGGAGCCATAGATGACCTTTAACCTCTGACCTTCCTCCACCGTCAGGTCAACCAGCTGGGGACGGTGCTGCAACTCAGTGAATGACTGACAGAGAGGAAGAAAGAAACAGACAGGGGAAGGAAAAGAAAATAAGTGAAGCAGGAAGAGAAGCGAAGATGTCCAGGGGATAGAGGGTGATGACAGAGGAAAAGCCGGAAAGACAAAGTCAGAGGGAAACAAACACAAACAATAAAATGATCAATCCAGTCAATGAAAATCTTGCTAAAAAAGATGTCAGGCCTGTAGCCATACAATATATGCAAAGTATAAGCATGTTTGCGTCCATACCTTAAAGGCCATGAACTTGTGGTAGGGTTTGGGAGCCCAGGCATAGATTTCCACAGAGTTCTTCAGCGCAATCACCAGGAACTTAATCCTCTCATATTTTACTGGAAACATGACAAAGACACAGATTAAATTGGCACTCATTTAAGAGCTTGAATCAAACATGAACAGGTGGACTTTTTGACTTTTAACAATTTGACCAAGTGTACATAAAATAAATTTTATTTATTAAAAGGTTATACATTTATCATCTTCAGGTTTTCAAAATTAGGACCAAATTTATCATAAACCAAGGGCCAGATTAGTTAGTACAACCTGGATACCATTCTAGTTTAATACAAATGGATACATTTATATATGTATAAATAAATACACACACACACAGATCCTTACCAACTTTATAATGCACACAGCCCTCCAGCTCCCCAACTGTAATCCAACCCTGCTTCTTCTCAACTTCTGGGTCATTGTGTAATATTCTGTTCCTCAGCCAGGATAAGTAGTAGACACGCAACTTATTCTTTTTCCCTGGGAGGGAGGGACAAAGAGATAAAAAGAAATAAGATTACATCTACTGGAATGAAGCAATAAAATACCAAAATATTTTAGAAACCTACTCGGCTATAAACAGCACACAATGGCAGATTACATGTGACTGACCTAGAACACTGGTACTTTTGTATTTTGAGAGAACAGAAAGAAGCACACGTGTATATTCCATTACTACTCTTGCAGTTATTTACCAAACATGTAATGCTACACATAATGTTTAATCTTATCTATTCTTGAGTTTCACTTTTCAAATTTCAAGCTTATTTGAATTTGAGAGAATAAAAGATGTCAAACTCATGAGTACTCATCAAAGACACACAATACATTGCCAGAACCAAATTAATATTGCAAAAGGTACGATGTGAGCAACAATCTGGGGCCAGATACACAGGAGAAGGGGGTGGAATGTGTCAACGAGCATGCACTTGCATGTGTGCGCACACAGTGTGAGTGTCTCTGTGTTAGACCTACCAGATATTGTGACTAGCACATTGAGGCCCTCCAGCACATCCATCTGTAGGAAGCGCCGCCTGGTTATCAGGTTATAGACTTTTCCTTGTCCACTTCGGTCAAGCAGCATAAGACCATTCTCTGTCCCCACCAGCAGGTTCACACCTAAACATAAATGAAGAGTTAGACAGACACACAGCAAGACAGATGGAGGTACAGGACAGTACATTTTTTGTTCTTTTATAAAGGGAGATGGAGGACCCCTCTTACCCCAGAGCGCAGCACACAAAATCTCAGAATTGAAGCGTTTCTTGTATTTGCGGATCTCTGGTGTGTCACTGTGGGGTCTGATGTTGGTAGGGTTGACGTTGACCACAGAGATCTTTCTGGCTTCGTTTAGTCTGGCCTGCTCCTGCCTCATCAGCTCATTTGCAAACATAGCTGGGATACCACAGAAAAATAAATTAACATAAAGAAACTGGTTGAATATGTAAACGTGTGACCAAAGCTTTCCTATGCTTTGCTTACCAGCCGCTGAGTTATCATCATCATCATCATCGTTTTCACTTGGGGAGGTTTGATAAACTCGCGGATCAACAAATGGGGTAAAGGACGCTTTGGACCCGCCTACACCAAACTGTAAGACAGAAAACAGTAAGTCAGTTATTGGAAGCAGCCTACTGCATACACACACAAACACACACACACACACACACTACTACTTGCCATTGTTGACAGATATATTATGCAGTTATGCAGTTTAATGCAAATGTGTTTATTGTCAGGTACAAGACATAAAATACAGAATCACTGAGTCATTTATACTCTTTTAAATAATTCGTTTGCTTTTTAATATAATTTTAAGACCTATTTCATTAATTTAACTTTATGTTTTATTTACAACACTATATTCACAAATGTATATGTGTTTCTGACCTCAGCCATGTTGCCCAGTTCCTGCAGGGCTGTGGTGGGTGTGGCTGAGGGAGAGTTGCTTTGCTGCACCAGGTCAGGGAGGTTACCATGGTTACTGTGATTCCCGAACCCATTACTCTCAGTGTGACCACCTCTCCTCCTCTCCTCTGCCTAAGACACAGCCAAAAAAGAGAGAAAAGAGTTGAGAAACAAAGGGAGAGGGATAAAAGATAAAAGATGACATATAATGTTTTCTAGGAAAATGAGGACAGTAGAAGAGAAAGAGGATTAAGTTAGAATATAAACAAAAACTGTATTTTTCTTTCCATTCTTTTCTCTCTAAATCCATGTGTCTTTTGTGTGTGAGTTTGTGTGTGTGTGTGTGTGTGTGCGCACACAATCATTACCTCTCTCATCACTAGAGTGCCGTCCTTGGAGTTATTATAGGCATCTCCCAGAGAGTTCTCTGTCAGCCCTCCATACGACTCACCGCTGCCCTGCACTGCTGGCCTGCAACACACACGCACACACAAAAACACACACAGACCCAATTATTTACAAAGCAATTTTGCCAAAACAACACTGACAAGCTACTGGCATGTCGCATAATCCAAAGACATGCATATCTCAACACAAATGAACACCGACAAGTCCAGCTGGAAAAAAACACAGAGAGAAGGAAAAACAAAAAACAGAGGGGACAACTTACATGATGCGGGGGATGTCACTAACAGCAACGGTCCCATCGTGGCCTACGGTCTCTCCGTCGTCGTCGCTGCTCTCTGAATCTTCACTAGAGGATGAGTAGTCCGTTACCTTTATTAGAACACAAGAAGCAGAGACAAAATAAAAAAAGCTGGTCAGAAATAACACTGTGGTAAGACAAGGTACTTATCAGGGTACTATTTCAATTATCTCAGTATCTCAGTCTTAGTACAATGGAAATTAGCTTTTAGCTTTTCAACTATGTTCATTGTAGACAGACACTACAATTTAAAAAAATCTATCTATCTACTGGTTATCATCAGTATTAAATGTCATTGTACCTTGACTGGAGGTCTGCTGCCCTCCTCTACCCTCAGTTCTCTGAGTTCCTTTGCCAATGCACTTAGGTCCTATAGAGAGGAAAAGAAGTGGAGAAGGAAAAGAAGTCAGTTAGTTCATCAGTTCAATCATCAGTCTCAGAACCTGAGGAGTGAAAGACCAAATCACATTCAGGGACAAAGGGAGCAGAGAGGGGCAAAGAGAGGGACAAATCATCGGCATCATGACAAGGGGACAACTAATTTGTTGTCACACAAATATCTGGGCCTGTAAACATTTCCTGGACCAAGAGTGCTTATCTGAGACCACTTTTTCTGCTTAGCCACACAAAATTTTTTATTTTGTGACTTAAAAGTGATCACAGATCAGCACTTTTATCCGCTCACAAGCAATATATTAACTTTGTGAAGACGGGTCATAAGAATAGAGAAAGACAGATAATCAGGCTTGATGTACTACTGGAGTGCAGCATCAATCTGCACCCCCTACCAATCACCCCCATGCCAACTGGCCCGTGGTTCCTCCCCTCCCCAACCCAGCCGATGGATCAGACCAAATCATGCAGACGGGGTGGGGGACCGTCACACACGGTGGGCTTACCAGCTCCTCCTGACCAGTAACCGTGACAATAGAGAAACAGGAAAAGAGATTCAGAGACTGTTCAGGTGCTTGGCAGTTGAGGTTGCACACACACACACGTGCGTGCACGCACGCACGCACACACGCACTCACTACACATGCATACACACACACACACACACACACACACACACACAAGCCCGCATCCACATACACTCTCAGGTATGTGTGTAGAAGCACACATGCACTGCCATCGCCATTACATCCCGGTGTTTTAAAGCTAAAAGAAACAAATGTCATCTCTTTGTGAAAACTCCACCATGCCAGGGGAAAAAGAGGGGCTCTGGAGATCGAAGCAAAGGAAAACCAGGATAAAAAAAAGGGGGACTCAAGTGTCACTGACCTCATCTATGGCTTTCTTATAGCTCTGAAGAATGAAAGGACAAAGAGAAGGAGGCAGAGAAAGAAATAAAGAACCAGATGAATAGCAGAAAAAAGGAGAGGAGGCCTGTAGAAGATTCCCAGAGAGGAGATTTCTGTGATAGAAAGTGAACGTGTGTGTCTGTGTTGCCGGACTCACTGCAGGTCTACTGGGTCTGGCGGATTCACGGCCCTCCTCCTGTTTGGGCTTTGCCTCCTGATTGGCTCCTGGAGGGGATCCTTCCTGCTTGGTTTGACCTGGTCAGAAGAAGAAGTAATTACACATTTGATCTGCATACACACACAGACTCTAACTATTTCATATATTTCTTACCGTATCCTGATACTTTCGGTCTCATTTTCTTAATTTTTTGCCATATTTACTGTCAACCCCATTGCAAAATGGTAACAACATCCAACAAACATGAAGGAAAACCGATCCTACCATACTTCAACCTCTCTCTCTGTTTGTCAAGGGGAGATCCATGCATATATTAGATATCCCTCTGGCCTGTTGTTTGACACATCCCTGTACGCCTCTCTCTATCACCCTCTCTCATTTTCTCTCTTCTATCTCTCCCGAGGCTGAGAGTAACAGGGCACATCAGACAGGTTGATCAGAGCAGAACTGCGACTGACAATGTCCCGCTGATAGCCTCTGAAACTCGCTGAAGCCCTTTGAGTGTATGCAGATGCTTGCATGTTTCTGTGTCCACATTTGCATGTATACAAGAGCAAGTATGTCCACTGTTTTTTTTAATTGTTTGCATGCAAGTGTATGAGTTCATATATTTGGTAGTGTAGGAGTGTGCATGTCAGTGTGTGCATGTGTCAGTTAATTTTTTCTTTAGTACCTCTCCTTTCAGCTGAGCCTCCCTGAGATGAAGGGGAGGAGGAGGATGATGAGTTGGAAGAAGTTCTTTGCAGCATGGCATCCAGAGAGAGCTCTGACCGCCGCAGGTCTGGGTTACTGAAACAGGAGAAAATATACGACATATTTAATTAAAACAGATGTAAGAATTGTATAATTGCCATGTTTTTATAAGCTTAAGATTATTTTAGGCAACTGCTGCAGTGTAAAAATAACACTGATGCAGTATGATGGTATTTCTGCAATCATTTCTGCTCAACAATGTCAAATATTCATCCAATTTATTAGTATATACAGAAGCACATTTTGTAATTGCATTCAATTATGTTTTAAGATAAACAATAAAAAAGCAAGAAATTTTAAAAGCCCGAAACAAAAACACCAGA